AGGGAGGGGAGGCCAGGAGCCACTCTCCGTTTGGGGAGAGTGTGGTAACCTGGGCGAGCTGGGCAAAGGGGATTCGGCCCCCTGGTGGCCACAGAAGGACCTGAGCCCTCCTGGAGGGGCCCAGGGGCGGTGAAGAGGGGAGGGTGTTTTCCTCACCACTTCTAGTTCAGTCCATTTGTCTTTCTGCCCCCCAGTGCTCCCAGGCTTTCCCGCAACCGGGCAGCCCAGAGCCCAGTGCCTGGCCCACCGGCCTGTGCTCAATAAACAGGGAGTGCTGTTATTCTTAGATGCGGATGGATACTGGTTTCCCTTCCCCTAAGGGTCCCGTGTTATCTCTGCTCAGCTCATTCCTGATCAGCAGCAGAAACGCTGTTCGATTTAGTGTTGTCACCTTTTCTGATGCCTCCTCTGGGTGGGCACTCTGGTGGCGGCCCAGGAGGAGAATGGAACTTTCCTGGGAAGCTAAGTAGCAACGCCCAGCTAGTAGTGCTGGCTAATGTTTATGGGATGTTTGCTCTGGGTCAGGCGGTGGGGTGGAGGGGGAGTGCTTTACATGAATGTAGCTCATCCTTAGGACAGATGACAAAGCTGAAGCTCAGGAGAGGTTCAGTGACCTGTCCAAAGTCACAGGCAGGGCTAGGAGTGGCGGCCCCAGGTCTGTTTCATGCTAAACCGGGAGCTTTTTAGCTCTACAGCTTTCAGAGTCCCGAAAGGGTTTGATGGCAGCCCCCACCCGGTCTGGCAACCCCACCCATTGCTTGGGGTTGATGTGTCACCCTGAGGCAGGAAGAAGAGCCATCCAAGGCTTCGACTGCCCTTCTGGGCCACACTGGACTGGACAATTCTCATTCATTTATTCAGCAGGCATTTATCAAGAACCACTGTTGGCACTGGCCAGCACCTGGGAGATAGCCCTGAACGAGTGTAATTTCTACTCTTATGGTGCTAATGGTCTTATGGGAAAAACAGACAAGTGAACAAGCAGTTACAGAATAAGGGTGAGTGCTGGAAAGAGCCACTGGAGGAGGACCAGCGCTGGGAAGAATGTTCTAAATCAGACAACAGCTATGCAAAGGCCAGGAGGAGAAAGAGCATCGGGAGTGCAGAGGCAGGACCATGCTGGGCTTTTCGGTCAACTTGAGGTGGGTGGGCCTGCGTCCCCAGAGCCATGGGGAGCCACGGAAGGCTTTTGAACAGGAGAGGGGCATGAACAGCTATTTTATAGGCCAGTGTGGGAGACTGCTTGAAAAGCAAGAGGTTGTACACACACACTTATATGAGACCACTGGAAGGTGGAGAGGAGCCCCATGTGATCCAAATTCCCGAAAGTGAGTCAGCTTGGAGCTGATCCCACACAGATTCCTGGGCCCTGTCCAAGACTGTGAATAGACTCTCTGCCCCCAAACGAGTTTTTAACAAGTGTGCCAGGTGATTTTGATGGGCAGCCAGGTTTGAGAACACTTAGGTTGGATGATCGTCCAAAAGTTTCCACTGGAAATACCCATTTGTCTATTTCCCCTAGACTTGCCAAGTGAGCCTTTAGCTGGGTCACTTCACCTCTCTGAGACTGAGTTTTCTCATCTCTAAAACTGGGACGTGGGCAAGGTTTGTACTAGATGATACTCAGAGCAATCCTTGAAGCCGATATTGTTGTTACCATCATTTATAGGTGAGAAAACTAACACTCTGAGAGTTTAAACAATTTACCCCAAATCACAAAGCTGAGAAGTGGCTGAGTCTGAGTTTAACCTTCTATACTATACAGCTCTTTATGGCTCTATGTCTTTTCCTAGAAACTGGGCCACGTTTCCCAGGACCAGGAGGTATACGGGATGGGCACAGAGGAGCAGGGCAGCCCTGAATGAATGTAGTGGGCATCTTGCTACAGACTGACATCTAAATCTCCCCATGTGGAGCTGATGTGCTGTGGAGTCTTTGGATGCTGAGGGCTGGGGAGTTGTGCTGGGCTCCATGGACAAGTGAAGGATTAGATCCAGTCCCTGTGCTTTTCAATTGCTCCAGGTGGCCATAGTCAGGCACATAAAGAGAATGGCACGTACTGAGGGAGGCTTCTCCCAGAGGGGCTGAGGATACCAAAGGAGGAGGCCTCTAGCAGTCAGTTGAGTCTTTCTGCAAGAAGGGTCTTTTGAACTGGGTCTTGCAGGATGAGTTAGAGTTTTGCAGCAGAGGAAGAGAGGGAGGACATTCATTTCAGGCAGAGGGACCAGCTTGGGCAAATGCATGGTAGGGTATGTCTGTGTGTGTGGGATCATGGGAAGAGCAGAGACTGGAGGTTGGTGACAGGCTCGGACAGGGGTATAGAGGGCATAGAGGAGATGTGGCCAGAAGGGACCCATGTTCCAGAAGAGAGGGGGTTTAAGCCGGAGATTTCACTTTTTTTTTTTTTAAGATTTTATTTATTTGAGAGAGAGAGAGAGCAAGTGTGCACAAGCAGGGGGAATGGGAGAAGGAGAAGCAGGCTCCCCACTGAGCAGGGAGGCCAATGCAGGGCTCAATCCCAGTACCCTGGGATCATGACCTGAGCCGAAGGCAGACGCTTAACTGACTGAGCCACGCAGGTGCCCTGGAGACTTCATGGTTTTATTTAAGCTTTTGAAAGACCCTTTGGCTAAAAATGGAAATGGACTGGAGGGAGCAATAGAAGGCAATGAGACCATTGAGGGAGTTGCTAAGGTAGTCCAGGTAAGAGATGAGGATGATGAGGGACTTGAGAGACATTCAGGAGACTCAGGTGTTCTAAGCTGGGTTTGGGGAATAGTGCAAAGATGAGATTTTGAAGATGTCAGGTTTTTGGCTTAGTGAATAAGTAAAACCATAAGTGGACATAGAGCATTATAGAAGGAGGAATCAATTTGGGGAATACTAAACATACCAGTGGCCATTTACTGAGCACTCAGGAGGCGCCAAGTACCGTGCCAAGCGTTTTATACACATTAGGTGACTAGGACTCAGAACCACCCTAGCGGATGGGTATTCTCATTGCGTCTGCTTAAACAAAGAGTGTAAACAGCTTTTCTGAGATTAGCTGGCAGCAGGGCCAGGATTTGAACCCACTTTTGATTCCTAGGTCTGTGCTCTCAAGCCCCACTCAGTTCTGCCTGACTGAACTACTAGCCATCACTTGAGACTCAGCTCAAGGGCAGGTTCCTCTGGTGAGCCCTCCCTGATTCTTCCTGGGTTCCTCCTCTGCGCTACCTATGCATGCTTCTGTTGTCACGTTTCTCACACTCCCTTGACAGTTTGTAGAGCCCTCTGCTTCCCGAGCGGTTGGTCTGAGAACTCCTGAAGGCAGGGGTGGTTCTAGTCATTTTTGTATCCCCAGTGGCTAGCACATGTCGATGTTCTAATGCTAATTGTTCTAGGCAATTTTGTTCCCTTCTCTTCTCTACACATTCATTTAGGGAACAAGTGCTGCTAATAATGGTTTCTTACATATATCTCTATACTGTTCTTTTCTATCTCCGCTGCAAGAGCTTAGCACTGACCTCTTTGAGATCATAGAGGAAGGGCATCTAACGTGATGACGCAGTCTAGGAGGCTCCCTCTGGAGGTGTCCCTTAAGCACGAAAAATGAGCCAGAGCTACTTTGGTAAAGAAAAGTGGGAAGGGCACTCCAGGTAGATGAAAAAGCATAATAAATGAAGGCACAGAGGTTTGAAACAGTTTGGTCTGCATGGGGGAATATGAGGGGTTTAGCCTGTGTTACTAAAGATAAGTAAATATGTGTGGCTGAGACTCGTGGAACAGAGGTGAGAAGGCAGGGCCAGTGGGGGCATTCCAGAGCTTGAGCTTTGGTGTTATTTTTCTATACAGTTGACCCCTGAACAATGACAGCACTAGGGGCGCCCAGCCCCCGAACAGTGGAAAATCCATGTATAACTTTGACATCCCCCAAACTTAACTACTAATAGCCTACTGTTGACCAGAAGCCTTCCTGATAACATAAACAGCTGATTAACACATATTATGTATATGTATTATGTACTGTATTCCTACAATAAAATAAGCTGGCCAAAAGAAAATATTATTAAGAAAATCGTAACAAAGATAAAATATATTTCTAGTACCATTCTGCATTTATTGAAAAAAGAAATCCATGTGTAAGTGGACCCCACAGTTTCAGACCCCTGTTGTTCAGAGGTCAACTATATCTGATAAAATAGATGTCTGTACAGGGCATAGTGGGGACACACGGGGAGTGAATACTTGTATCAAGGGGTCAGGCAAGACTTAGGTTTCACTGTATTTCAGTTCTTTGTATACCGACAATAGTACCATTTATTTCCCTGTTGCTATGTACCTGGCACAGCACTTAACATGCATTATCTCATCAAACCCTCACAACATCCTTTGAAATAGATGTTATTACCTTTATGCATAAGAGGGAAAGGAGGCTCCAGCGGATTAATGGTGTTCCCAAGGTCACATGGCTAAAAAGCTAGCCCAGATCTGAAGAGGTCTTAGAGTTCTAGACTATAGCCTGCTAAGGAGATCTTCATGAAGTTAAGGAACATGTCTTTTGTTTTTGTGTGTCCAGACCTAGGTCTTAGAGACGCCTAATAAACATCAGTTGAATAAATGAACGGACGACCTTCCACTTTCTCCACGCGGAAAGCACGTGCTGACGTCACTGGGAAACCCTCCGGGCCACGAGGGGGCGCAGTCCCCATCTCGGCGCAGCGGGGCCCGCTGCGGACGCTCAGCTTCCTCCGGTCCTTTGACTGGAACTCAGCCAATCGGCGCGCTCCGAGAGAGCTGGCGCCGGTGGGCGGGGTCCCGGGGCCAGGCCTCGCAGGCCGCTGGGAGACTCGGCGTCGGTGCTCCAGGCGAGCGAACAAGCCAAAAGGCTCGCTCGCGGGCTGGGCGGAGGGCGGGGGCAGGACCGTGGAGTGCGGGCTGCGGCGCAGGTGAGCACGCGGTCCCCGCGGGCCGTTCCCTTCCCCGGAGCGGCTGCCGGGGCCGCCCATTGTCAGGGTGACGACTCCTGGTAGTGACCTCTGAGTTAGGGAAGGGTGATTGCGAGTGTCCGCTCCGGCCCTGGCTGGGCCTGACAGCTCTCTTCCCAGGGCTCGGAGGCCGTGTCTGGGCGCCCAGCAGACCCTCTGCGGCCAGGGCTTCTCGGCCTCAGGCACGTGGGTGAGAACGGACGCTGCGGAGGCCACGAGCGTGGTGGGACCGGGAGCCCAGAGGAGGGAGAAGGCCAGATACTTGGGACTCCGACTTAGTTGCGCTCCCATCCCCGGGCTGGGCTCGAGTGACGGTCAGGGCCAGTCTTCCCACCCTGTCAGGTCTCCTTTGCTCTTGTTAACAATTCTCAAATCTCGGACTGCGGCTTCAGGTCTCATTGGGCTTCCGGGGCGCCCGCACAAGGGCAGGTTTCCTGGCAACCCACTTGACCTTTACCGGACACTCAGGCTTCCTCTGCCAGGCTGGAAGGAAGACGTTCCAGTATTTGCAGGACGCTTTTGCCGCCTTCGTTTTGATACCCTGGGGATGACTTGTTAGGGAGTATTTAGCTTCTTCCGATCAGCAAAGTAGCCTGCTGTATTCCTGCCGCCTTAGGAGGGCGTGGGGGTGGGCGACTGCTGTGGTTTTACGCTGGTGCGTTGTTTGAGCTGTCATTCATTCATTTAACAAACTTTTTTGGGAGCACTTTATGGCAGGCAGGGCGGGAAGGGTGGGGGATGGATAAGACAGTGGGGGCCGCACAGACATGGTCCTTGCCCTCTTGGAGCTTAAGTGTTTTGAGAAATGCAGACAAGTCGGGTAGGCCCGCCAGCACAACGTCTGTCACAGAGAAGGTGGTTCTAAGTGTTGAATAAATGAATGAATTGACTTACTTGGGAATGATTAGAATGTGGGCAGGACAACAAGAGAGAGACATTTGCTGCATATGGGAGAGGATATGAATTGTGGACTCGTGTTTGGTATGTTTTACAACAAATTGGGGATCTGAAGGGAGAATTGCTGTTTAGGGTAAGTGTTAACTTATAGAGAGCTTGCATAAAAGGTAGGAAAGAAAATGAAGTATTAGGTTTGAGGTTCTTCAGGATTGTTTGTTTTAACAGCGTCTAAGTCCTGTAATTTCACAAATCTCTGAGTAATCTTAGAGTTTGCCAAAAGGGACGCTCTTCCAGATAGTGACATGCCAAGTTGATGGAAAAAAATTGCAGGAAGCGCTCCCCAAGTCCAGGATTTGGACAGAAACAGCACACCTATCTGCAGTGTGTTCTTGCCACTAGAAAGAGCACAAGTGTTGACGTTTGGAGAAGCCTGGATTCAAAAGCAGTGGTTCTGTCACTTCTAGTGATCTTGGACAAGTTCACATAATGTCCCTGAGCCTTTGTGGCCTTAGACACAAATCTGGGCTAATAATTCCTACCTCATAGAGGTGTTGTGAAGATCAGGTGATGACCAGCGGGTGACTTGTCCGGCATAGGGGCTGGTGCTAAGACAAAGGACCCAGAGGGGAACATTCTAGCTGCTGCAGTTTTTTCCCTGATAATGGTCCGTTATAGTCTTGGGTCCACAGAATGCTGGGATTCCTCCAAAGAGAATTGGAACCAAAGAAAGAATCATTTTATCCTTGGTGAGATTTCAGTTGTACACTTTAGACTAGAGATAGCCAAGTTGGAGAAACACCTACAGAGGTGCAAATGGAATGAATGATCTTTTAGTTGAGACTTTGGGGCAAGTTACTTAACCCTCTGATAATACCATCTACCTCACAGAGTGGACATGAAGATAGAAGGAGATACTGTAAATAAAGTGCTTAGCCCAAGGAATGCTACATAAGTGCTCAATAAATGGATCTATCATTATTATGATAATGTGAGTAATCTTTTTTTTTTTTAAGACTTTATTTATTTATTAGAGAGAGAGAACAAATGGGGGGAAGAGTAGAGGGAGAGGGACAAGCAGACTCCACACTGAGTGTGGAGCCCGACTCGGGGCTTGATCCCACAACCTTGAGATCATGACCTGAGCTGAAATCAGGAGCCACCCAGGTGCCCCGTGAATAATCTTGGTAACTGTTAATGGTAATAGTCATGAGACTACATGGCCATTAGAGTGAACCAATTTGTGTGTTATATATATTTTTTTGGTGTTATCTTACTTCATTTCAGGACACTCCAGGGCCAATCCACT